TTTTCTTTAAAATTTTAACCCTATGCTAAATACGAAACTGTAGAGCGCCACCTTAAAAACAAATATAAACATTTATGAAATTATTTTTCTTATTTTCATATTATTATGTATGATGTTCTGAGTAAAATGGTACATTAACAATGATTTTATTCATGAAAATAAGCTAACTATGCTTATTTTTGCTCTAGCATACATAATTTGATATGAGGCATGTTTGGGTGAGTAGTGACCTTCATTATGGGAAAATTAGAAGTCTTAGAATATAGGAATAAAGTCAACTTAAATTGAAAAATGTTGCATTAAGTAAAAGAAATCCATAGTGAAAATGTTTTATTTCATTTATTTGCAATGAAATTAAAAAATAAATGATAACAAAGCAAATTTGCTTTCTTCCATATCAAAGAATTAGTTAATATTTACCCTTTGACCTTTGACCTTTATGAACCTCACCTGTTATATCCCTTTTATAACTGCAAAATTTATTGTTGACATCTCAGGAATAAATATGGCTAGTTTCATGTTCCTGTCTATCAGCATAACACTGGTTGCTATGTTGACAAAATGCAATGCGCATTTTTAAAATAGTTCACTTTTTATCATAAGGAGGGGGGGCTGTACCGGTTTAAGACTCTGACTCTAATAAATGCTGTTCTGAGGGGGTAAATACATGACAATTATTACAAAGGACTGTTTTGATGCTTGCGACTTAAATATTTCAATCGTACAATCAAAATTAAATCATACAATAATAATACCTATATTCTCTTTATGGTGGCGCTCACCAGTTATTATGTACTTTTGAGAGAGTGATGTATGTAAGGTGAAGTTGTTTGCATTTTAAACATGCACAGTGCAAAGAATGTTGGCATACCTATATACTACTTTCATGTAATGTGGATGAAATTTCTTTGGATATTGTACTTTTGGAAATTTTAAATGATCTTTGGACACTGCTAACTAAAATGACTGCTCCCTTGTGCTCCAAAAATCCACCTAAATTTGTCTAAAATACACTATTCTTGGCAGCTATTAAAATATGGAAAATGAATTTTGCCAAACTAGATAATACCAGCTTGTAAAAGTGCAATGACTGAATTACCAAATACATAAAATGTAAAAAAAGTTATCGGCTCTTTTTTTTACAATTTACCTCTGAAGTTCGAGAAGTGAAAATGAGCAAGTAGAGCTAGCACGTTTTTGAAAAATGCACATCTGGAGTAAGGCCAACCTGTTTATTCTCTAACCCATATTACACCCATCAATCATACATCAAAATAAAGGGAATTAAAGGTTCTTTGAACAACACCTAAGATATACAAAGTCTCTTTTAAATAACCAGTATAACTAGTGAGGCAACCCGGGGAAACTCTTTTTCTTTAAAATTTTAACCCTATGCTAAATACGAAACTGTAGAGCGCCACCTCTAGTTGCCTCACGATTTTAAAAAGAAACCATTGTTGTCTTCTGTTGTGCCAAACGAAGTTATTCTAAAATCAAGCAACAAGAGATATATAACACAAAAATCCACATAGCAACTTAAAGCCACTCCAACCTTGTGAACACACCATACAAAACATTTTGAGACAGACCCACCCACCCACATGAAGTCAATTTGTTTTGTATTATGCTAGAAACTCTTGTTCGTTCCACACAGCAAAGTGAATTTTAGCTTATCTGTAGGTCTAACTCAGTAAATTTTCAGGTCGCACCATTGCCTTCATTAACATTATTCGTGTAAGTGCACAGTACTGTATTTTGAACAATAACATGTCTTGACACTCGTTGCGTAATACTTCCAAAGCCTAATTATTGTTAGTTTTTTTCTTAATTTTTTTCCCCATTTCTAAGACCGTCTTGTATAGCTAGATTCGTCTTAGATAAGTATTCAGATTTTCATTAAAACATATACAAGACCTCACGACCTTTAGAGAAACAATGACAATACCTGGTGAAAAGCAATATAATAATAATAATAATAATAATAATAATAATAATAATAATAATAATAATAATAATAATAATAATAATAATAATAATAATAATAATACCAGATGAATAATACTGTTTTAAATATGTTAAATTAATTGCAGAAGTGCATGATTATTTTAATTTAATTTGAAAACACTGGTTGAGAAAAATAAATTCTGTCCGTCACGTTCGTTATGAATCCGCGTAAGTGCCGTTTGATATTCTGGTTACGACGACAGACAGCTGTAAACAAAAATGATTTTGTCAAAAAATCTGCATTGCATTGAGGAATCAAGTTTGCAGCTGGCGTCAGTGTGTTCACAAAGTTTGATGACACTGAAACTGAAGCAGTTTATTTTAAGGCAGTACGTTAATGTGATAACAACATGACCACATAAACGTTCTTGGCCAACACATAGACACGATTGACATCTTCTAACGCAGATTTCTCAAACTCAAACCACTCTGAGGGCCGTAGGAGAGGATTTTCGATGCCCAAGGGCCACAACACATTTGTTATCTCTCATGACACCTTGTGTTGCCAATTATTTTGCGGGCAACAGAATACGACTTGGCGGACCGCGTGTTTGAGTTCTAACGCGAGGGCTCTGGCGGTTTTTCTACTTTCGGTTTCAAGATTCTCAGTAAGCACGTCAAAATACACGAGATCAGGTGCACAATATACTAACTATGGCAGTTAGAATCCCATGCACACGATGTTGAATGAACTACTGGATCGTATGCGCATGATTTTGAATGATGCACAGAAATCCCATGCACATGATACTGATTGTGCCAGATTTATCTCGTGCATTCGGTTCTAAAAGGTCACTCTACTTTTACATATTGTGCACAGGATGTTTAAAGAAAAAAGAATTACCGTTTTCTTCACTGCTTATACTATATAAAAAAAGAAACTGTATATCTCAGGTAGATTTTTACTTCTCTTATTTTGGTGTATGATTGATGTGTGTATTATAGGTAATAGCCTGGCCTTACTTCAGATGTGCATCTTACCAATCCTGCTGTTCGTCACGGATCACTGCCATCTCACCTCTATCTGCGTGTGTTCGAGTCTAGGATTCGGCGAATGTGGATATGTGAGAAAGCTTGCCAGTAGCTTCTCGTGGGTCGGTATTTCTTTCCGGTGATTTCTCGGTTTCTTCCTCCACCATTAATACTGGCCGCCATGAATAGCCTATCGTGTGCTGAAAAATGGCGTTAAGCCCAATAACAACAACAACAACCAATCCTGCCAGCTCTGCTCGGTTATTTGCACGTCCTGGACTTCAAAATTGTAAAAAAAAAATAGTTATTTTTTTACATTTTATATATTTGGTAATTCATTCATTGCACTTTTGGTGGCTGGTATTATCTAGTCTAGCAAAATTCCTTTTCCTTTTTTTTAATATCTGCTAGTGTACATACTACTAATTAAATCTTATGTTTGGAGCACATGGGAGCAGTCATTTTAGTTAGGTGTGTGCTTAGATCATGTACCATTTCTATAAGTACAACATCCAAAGAAATTTCAGCTACAGTACATGGAAATAACATGGAGGTATATCAGCATTCTCTTCAGTGCAAACGTAAGCATCTACATCTTACATCTGCTAATCTCTCAGAAGTTCATAATAATCAGTAGAACACCCCCATAGAGAGCACATAGGTATTTTTGTACAATTTAATTTTGGCTGTATGGCTGAAACACTCAGAAGTCACAAGCATTAAAACAGACCTTTTCAATAATTCTTCTGTATTTTCCCCAACAGAGCAGTATTTTTTAGTTCAACGACCCACAAAAGCTCAACTTCCTTATGATGAAATGTGAGCTTTTTTAAAAATGCACATTACATTTTGTCACCATAGCAACCAATGTTATGCTGACAGACAGGAACATGAAACCTGCCACAATTATTCATGAGATGTCAGGAGTCAAACAGATGAGGCTCAGCGAGGTCAAAGATTAAAATATTTGCTTATTGTCCTAACACTAGAATATGGAAGTGATTTTGCTTTGTCATCATTTACTTTTTAATTTCATTACAAGTGAATGAAAAGGTACATTTTCAGTATCTATTTATTTCAATTAAATTCAAGTTTAAATTTTAAAATTTGACTTCACTACACATGCAATACAGCCTCAGAGCATTCTGTGTAAGCATTAGCAAAATAAGCATAATTAGCTTATTTTCATGAATAATATTGTTAATGTACTATTTATTTAGAATATCATGCATGATGGTATGACAATAAGAAACACATTTGTACAAATTTTCATATTTATTTGCTTTAAGGTGGTGTTCTACAGTTTTGTATATTGCATAGGGTTAAAATTTTAAAAATGAAATTTCCCTGGTTTTCCTCACTGTTTATACTGGCTGTTTAAAAAGTATACAGTTTGGCATTGCTCCAGATGTGCATTCTTAAAAAAAACTGCTAGCTCTGCTTGATCATTTTCTCTTCCTGGACTTTAGAGGTAAATTGTAAAAAGAAAAGAGAACTGATAACATTTCTTAACATTTTGTATATTTGCTAATTCATTCAGAAGCTTGTATGATCCAATTGGCAAAATGACTTTATTTTAATAACTGCTAAAGATAGTGTACTTTAGATGAGTTCAGGTTGATATCTGGAGCACAAGGGAGAAGTCATTTTAGTTAGCTGTGTGCTTATATCAAGTAAAATTTCTGCAGGTAAAATATCCAAAGAAATGTCAGCCACAGTACATGAAAGTAATATGGAGGTATACCATCATTTTTTAAACTGTGCATGTTACAAATTTTGTATACTAAATGTGTCATGATCACAGATTGCGTGTGTATGATACGGATTTTTAATGTAGCTTTAACAGTTTTTCAGTCATATCACTACAATGTCTTAGAATGGGCATCAATTCTACAGACAAGTAGCATCATGTCCAACCTAGTCACATTATCCTGACACCATGTCAACCAGTCCTAACACTAACCTCTTAATGTTGAGTGCCAAGATGAGGCAGCTGTTAGTATCATTTTTATAAGTCTTTGGTATGACTTGACTGGGGTTGGAAACCATGACCTCCAGCATCCAAGGCAGACCCTCTAACTACTAAGCCACCAGAGTGGTCATCACTGAGTTCATGCACATGACAGTGAATGAGCTACAGCTGGAGATTCCATGCACATGATACTAAATGCGCCAGAGATCCATAGCACATGATACTGAATGTACCATAGTCATAGATCCATAGAACGATATTGAATGTGCCATTGTCAAAGATCCTATGCACATGACTCTGAATGTACCATAGACATCCAATTCACAAGATACTGAATGTGCTATGCTCAGAGATTCCATGCACATGATTCTGAATATAGCACAGTCAGAGATCCCAGAGATGAACATAACACTGAATAAGCCATAGTTAGAGATACAATGCACATGATAAATAAATGTTTCAGGCAGAGATGAATCAGAATGTGGTACAAGATCACTAGCACATAACACTGAATGTACCATGGAGACCCCTAGCACATGATACTGAATGTGTCATGGAAATCCCTGGCACATACTGAATATGTTATAGTCAGAGACCCCTAGGACATGATACTGAATGTGACATGGAGACTCCTAGAACACACTGAATATGCTATAGTCAGAGAACCCTGAGACATGATAATGAATGTGCCATGGAGACCCCTGGCACATACTGAATATGTTATAGTCTGAGACCCCTAGGACATGATACTAAATGTGCCATGGAGACCCCTGGCACATACTGAATATGCTATAGTCAGAGACCCCTAGGACATGATACTGAAGTTGTCATGGAGACCCCTAGCACATACTGAATATGCTATACTCAGAGACCCCTAGGACATGATACTGAATGTGTCATGGAGACCCCTGGCACATACTGAATATGCTATAGTCAGAGACCTAGGACATGATACTGAATGTGCCATGGAGTTCCCTAGGACATACTGAATATGCTATACTCAGAGACCCCTAGGACATGATACTGAATGTGCCATGGAGACCCCTAGCACATACTGAATATGCTATACTCAGAGACTCCTGGGACATGATACTGAATGTGCCATGGAGACCCCTGGCACATACTGAATATGCTATAGTCAGAAACCCCTAGGAGATGATACTGAATGTGCCATGGAGACCCCTGGCACATACTGAATATGCTATAGTCAGAGACCCCTAGGACATGATACTGAATGTGCCATTGTCGGAGATCCCTTGCACATACTGAATGTGCATTGGTCACAAAAACCATGCACATGATTCTGAATGTACCAGGCAGAAATCCAATTACATGCCCTCTCTATCACATTTGTTACATCCTTTGGATCACTGAACTATTTATTATTTACATCATGGGCTATGTAAGTTATGGTTCTTGGCTGTAAATAATTTACCAATTGTCACCATATAGCATTTTTTTTTAATTTTCAGATAGGATTAGTGTCACATTATAGTTATCTGTGCAATTTACAGACAGGATAAGTGTCACCATATGGTTATCTTTGTAATTTGCCGACAGGACAAGTGTCACCATAGTTATCTTTGTAATTTGCGGACAGGATAAATGTCACCATATAGTTATCTTTGTAATCTGCCAACAGGATAAGTGTCACCATATGGTTATCTTTGTAATTTGCGGACAGATTAAGTGTCACCATATGGTTATCTTTGTAATTTGCAGACAGGACAAGTGTCACCATATAGTTATCTTTGTAATTTGCAGAGAGGATAAGTGTCACCATATAGTTATCTTTGTAATTTGCGGACAGGATAAATGTCACCATATAGTTATCTTTGTAATCTGCAGACAGGACAAGTGTCACCATATGGTTATCTTTGTAATTTGCGGACAGGTAAAGTATCACCATATAGTTATCTTTGTAATTTGCAGAGAGGATAAGTGTCACCATATAGTTATCTTTGTAATTTGCAGAGAGGATAAGTGTCACCATATAGTTATCTTTGTAATTTGCGGAGAGGATAAGTGTCACCATATAGTTATCTTTGTAATTTGCGGAGAGGATAAGTGTCACCATAAAGTTATCTTTGTAATTTGCAGAGAGGATAAATGTCACCATATAGTTATCTTTGTAGATTGCAGACAGGACAAGTATCACCATATAGTTATCTTTGTAATTTACAGACAAGATTAGTGTTACTGTAACATATATGTGATTAAATTGCTTGTGTGTAATGGTTAAAAATTCTTTATTTCATTTTTGTTTCACTGTATTTAATTGCAATGAATATTTTTCTTGGATTCTGGATTCTATTTTTTGTAGTGAGATATATTTTTATCAAAGTTTGTTTATTCAAGACGAAAATGTACTACCTGATAATTAACATTTAGTTCAACTTACCGAGGGAGTTAAAATGATTGGTCAGATTCATGGGCATACTTTCTTTGCGTGATCACTGTTTGTAAACAACCTTTTTTTATGATTGGTTTTCAAGTGGAGTGACCTTGGCCTACGTGTGAATATTAGCATAGTAAGAGACCACGTGACCAATCTTGCAAGACTTGAAATGAAGTCTGGGGTTTTAAATACACATTCCATATATTTTTTCAGACAAAGTCATTCAAAACCTTGAAGGAACAAGGTGTAATATTTTTAATTTGTTGCCAGAATATTTTATTCTTCATCCGATTTGTGGCTCTAATAATTTATTCTCCTGGAGACTCAATAAGTTGACTTTTTTATAAAAAAATTCTGACAGATATTCAAGGAAATTAATTCTGGAATTATTCAGAAACAAAGACTGTTACCACATCTGACGTCATCACCTTCCATATTTGTATGTCTTCAGGAATCAAACCTGGATTCTTATAAGACTATTTAGTGATAGAACTAGTGTTTTAATTGTTAGGATCACATTTTGGATTATATTCACAGACTATAAGTCCTATTTACCAATTTGTACATTGTTGTCTAGGGAAATAAATTATTTTGTTAAAATATAGAAAGCTTATTAGCTTTCATTCTTTTCTTTGTTACTGAGAATGAAACCTTGTCACGTAATATTACAGTTATCTATGTAATTTACAAATGTGATAAGTGGCACCTAATAGTTAACTTTGCAATTTATATGCCATAATTTTAAGCATCATTTCTTTTAGATGATTGCATTTAATATATTGTTATTGTTGTAGGGTTTAATGCCATATTTCAGCACAAGATAGGCTATATCAGTATAAATGGTGGAGGAAAACCCTGGAAAGAACCAACAACCTATGAGAAACTACTGGCAAGCTTTCTCACATACCCACATTGGCCGAGCCTGAGACTCTAACCCATGCAGACAGTGGTAAGATGGCAGTGATCCTTAACTGTAAGTGCATTAGACCAGCAGAGGAAGTTTACAATTCTGGTATGTGACTTATTCATAAGATATCACTGACACTTGTCATATTCTTGACCTGACAGACACCATGAAACAATATCACATAAGATGTCACATGACATTACTGACAGCATTTTAATCTTGTCATATTCATGATTTGACAAACCTTATCTGACATCACACATCACATGATATCACTCACTGACAGTGTTTTAATCTTGTCACATTTATGATTTGAAATACCTTGTTTGAGACATCATGACATGACATGACAATAGACATTACATATCACTGAGAGTGAGTTTTAACAAAGTCAAGTCATATTCTTGATATGATGCACAGGTAACACCATGTCATCACAACAGATATCACTGGACATCATGGATTACATTACCCAGCATCATGTTCTTGATATCATTCATGAATTTTTCATGACATCACACTAGATATCACATGATATCACTGACACTGCATGTGTATTACATTACCAAGCATCATGTTCTTGATATCATTCATGAATTACATCATGTCATGACATCACACTAGATACCACATGATATCACTGACACTGCATGAGTATTACATTACCAAGCATCATGTTCTTGATATCATTCATGAATTACATCATGTCATGACATCACACTTGATACCACAAGATATCACTGACACTGCATTTGTATTACATTATGTCAAGATATCACTCTAGATATCATGTGATATCACTGTGTATTATATTACCACTGACATTCAAAAATAACATCTGAACATATGAATTAATCAAACAGAACCAATCATTTTATTTATTTCTTGAAATCATGTTCACAAATTACCTTGTTTTACATGATACAATATATCTGCACCAAAATTAAAACATTATTGACATTATTTCAATCATTTCATACTAAATTATCATCAATCCATAACTGACTCCTTTTATATTTTCAGTTAAGTTTTCTACAAGACAGCTCAAAACAAACACAACTAAAGGAATTTATTTGAAAGCAATTGTGCAGATGATGTAAACTGATGTGATATCTCACATTAAAATATATCATTATCACATGATTTCTGAGTAAATGTATTACTCTACTTGTCTCACCTTCATGTATCTCATGAAAATATATCCACCACTGGCAGATCTGTTAAAATCTTTGATATCGAGTTTGTTGTGGTCTTAATGCCATTTTTCAGTACATGGTATACTATAAATAACAGAATTTGGTGGGGGGAAAACACCAGAAATAACCACCAATCCACATGAAGCTATTGGCAAGCTTTCTCATATACTCAAGATGAGCAAGCTGGAGACTTGAACCCACACTGATAGAGGTGAGGTGAAAGCAATCTGTAATAGTAAGTGCCTTAAACCACTTGGCCATCCTGGGTCTCTAAATCACATTACAACACTTTCGTCTAAAGAATCAATACTATTCAACATTTGTAAGGGCATACCTGTACACATAATTATAGTTACACAATGGTTGCAGGCAAATAAAAAAGCATAACTTACAAATAACCAAACTGCAAAAATAATCCATGAAGGTTACAATTATATTTCTAAAAGAGAAAAATCTACACAAAGGATAATATAAAATCTGAACAAAAAAGGACATAAAAACAACAATGTGGATGTATGCTACCAGTGTTACAGTTTAGAAATGTTCAATATGCTACGAAGAATATTAAATTTATCTTTCATAGTATTAGCAAAACCAACACACATCAATTATATACACTGAAGTGCAT